CTCTGCAGGACTGCTGCACAAACCTGCTGTTGGAGGCGGCTTCTCGCGATGCTCACCTAAATCTCCCAGTTCTGCTCCACTTTGGCAGCTTCCTCCCTCGCCCCCGCACGCCTGCTTTGTTTTGCACTGGATTTAACTTCGCGTATGTGGTTTGGTGTGGTTTTTTAATGTAACATCAAATCTCTTAATTCTCTGACCCAGAAATCAGAGACAATCCTCATAAAAATCTGGGACAAAGAAGACACGCGGATGCACGCGCGCTTTGGAAAGGGCTTCTGGAACTCCCAAATCTACCCATTTACAGTGATTTTGATTAAAGAAAGCATTTGGAGAACTGTTGCTATCAGATCTGGGGTTACTTTGAAAGCATATTAGCGCTGCTCTCCCCTACCCAAGGCCCTTGGGGTGACGAGGAAGCTGCCCAAGTTGGCCATCACCGCTGAGCCGCACATGGGATGCGCTGGGTTGAAGGGCAGGGCTTTTCCCTCCCATGCTGTCACCCCACGAGGCCAAATGTCCCCGGGTCCCAGCTGGGCATCTGCCCACTCCCACAGCACTCCAGAAATAAAGGTTTCTTTGGTTACAGTGTGACCTTTCCAAGCCGCACAGTCCATTCCCGCAGCAGTTTTGCCAGTGAGTAAATAATGAGAAATTAGTGTGCGGCCCCACGATGACTCACAGTGAGCTGCCGCCAGCACTAATGAACTTGTGGGGACAAAGCAGGGTGCTGGGGACATCCGAGAGCATGGCTTCGTGGCCATGTCACACATGTGACACCCGCAGCTGTGGAGGGCAGCTCTGTGGCTCTTTGCTCCAGACCCAAAGAGCCCAGGCTGGCCATAAAAATGGGAACGTGCCATTTTGCATTGCGTCTTTGCATGCTCAATTTAATGAGGGAAAATAAGAAAATCCTGCAGGAGCAAGGCTGAGTCAGGTAGGCACACGCACACAGCAGCCCCATCGTGTGAACCCCATTATGTTCTTAGGGGAAATAGGCACAGAATTAAAGTTCCATGGCACTCTACATCAGGGCTTGGGGGGGAGTTCTGATCCCATGAAGCCTGGCTGCATTCAGCCCACCCTGAGGACATCAGGCACAGTTTGTACAGCAGCACCCAGCAAGGCGAGAGCTCCCCCAGCCATGGGAAAGCCCCCAGTGATGTGAAAGTGGAAAATTGAGCTTAACTGCCCATGAGTAATTCACACGGCTGGGCGATAGCAGCCAAGTGTAGGACAGAAGAGCTTTGCTCCACCTTGAATTCTGGGGAAATCAAATCTGAAAGGGAAGTAACAGTTCAGATCAGCCAGGCTTTAACACCAGATTAAATGTTTTCACAGGAGCTTTCTGTTTGGGAGCTCCCAGCCAGCCTTTTGTCAAGCCAATTTACTTTGCATTGTACTTTGGCTTCAAGAGGTACCTTAAAATGTAACCAGCAGAGTTTTTCTTTCCATGCTGGCTTAGGTTTTCTTGGGGGGAATTCATGAACGTGGGACAGGCACTGCTCTGAGCTGGAGGGAACACGCTCTGGTGGCAAAGTCCTCCCCCCATAAGGTTGGCCTGAAAGCAACACTGCGTGGGAACCCACTGAGAATCCCATCCTGAAACTCTTGCCATTTCAGAAGGCTGAAGGAAGCTCCAATGGGGATTATCAATTTTTAATTTCCCCATTAGCAGCAACAGACGGCTACAAGTCTGGTGGTTTCTCTGGATAGAAGGAGCTGCCTATCTCCACACCAGGGCTTTGCTGAGGAGGGCCCTGAGCCAGACGGCTGCCGTGCCTCGGGGAAGACGTGTGGGGGGCAGGAGGGATGGGCACAGCCACACAGCATGGCAGCAATAGCATGCCCTGCCTTCCTGCTTCATCAGCTGCAACTTGGGCAGTGCGGGCGCTGCAGAACAGCAAAACGGAGCCCACTTCCCAAGATGTGCCTGGGTGGTGAGGGTCCCCGAGGTGGGGACAGAGGCAGCTCTGTGTCCTCAGCCCCCCAGCTCTCCCCACGGCACATCCTTGTGATTCAAATAAGAAGCTGCCACAAAGGCGCGGGCCCTGCCCCGAACAAAGAGCCGCTTGGGGCAGCGAGGGGGACGCGGCCTCCACCGATGAATGCAAATGCCTCCATCCCTTGGGAGCAACTTCTCTGGGACAACACAGAGCATCATTGTGAGCGTGTGGCTGCGCTCATACGCAAGCCCCCAGGAATGTCCAGCGCACCCCAGCTGGAGGAACTGGGGGTTGGGGCAGAACTCCCATCACCCCAACCACACGGGTGGGATAAAGAGGCTCCTACTCATCTTTCTGCACCCACACTCTTGCAGCCAGACTGAAACTCCCCCAGCACTCCCTCATCCTTTGATGGCTGGTGCTGGTGATGCTGCCGCTACCACCACCACCACCACCACCACACGCAGTGCAGCCCCAGGACAGTGCATTTCTGTTGGGACATGGCATGCTCAGCTCTGGGCACAGACCCACACACAGCTCCCCAGTGTACAGGTGCTGAACCTGTAGCACAGCTAGCATAACCCAGGTTTACCATTAAGCTCATTTTTCAGCCCTTGGGTCTCCAGGTCAGCACCTTCTGTGTACGGATTCCACCCCGTCAGCTCTTATGAAAAATAGAAGCTGAAGGCAGCCCTCCCTCTGGACCTGGTTCAAAGCCCAGGGAAGGCAGAGCTCTCATTGCTTGTTACTGCCAACGTCTGTAAAGCTCTCGCTGCCTGCACCCCGGAGACCCAAGTCAAAGGGCTGGGAATGGATGCGATTTGTGAGAACACGGTGCAATGTGAGGAGGGTTTGGGGGTTTGTTTTGGGAAAGGCAGCGGTGCAAGAGGCAAAATGGTACAACTCCAATTATGAGCTAAAATTCAAGGAAAACATTCAAGTCAGGCTCCATTCCATCTGCTATTTTACGCTCTCTTTGTTAGAGCAGCTAATGGACAACAATAAAAACATTAATAATCAAGCTAGATTTATAAACTGGGCAGCCCATTCCGTTGGTAATGAAATCCAGAGAATCACTCAATATGATATTGCTTTGGGCAGCACTCTACCAAAAGCTGCCTTTGAATTATAGCCCTCCTTCCTTCTGCTGAACTTTAATTTGGCCCGGCACCACCGCAGCATGCAGCAGGAGCTGTGAGCACACAGCACGGCCCCGCGTGGCGGTGGGGGGATGCGGGACGTGGGAGCTCTGCTGACATTGTGCTCCATTTACTGCAGAGAACTGCTGGATATGATTTTCAAAGGTTAGCGGAGCATTCTATTGCCATGGTTTCATGCTTCCTAGTTTTCAAATATTTGGTTGGAATGCATCACAGATCTTTAATTTCTTAGTTGCTTCATAAGGCGGATGTCAAATAATCATTTTCAGAGCACTCACTTACCCCACACTGCTATTTTCCTGACAAACACCTCCGACAATACCTGGCATTTTCTGCTCCCTGCTGCTCACTGCAGGGCACGAGCATGAACCAGCCAGTCCCTTCCTATTCCCAGCCGTGCTGCCACAAGCCTGCGAGATGGATTTGCCCCTGAAGCACGCCCAGAGGAGAGGGAACTGTGCACATCACTCTCCCCGCAGCGGGCTCAGTGCTAATGGCACAGCTCTCCGTGATCCCACGGCTGCCACACTCCTTGCACCTCTTGTTTGCAAGCTCCCACAGCTCTCCAGCACAGCTTGGAGCTGCTGTGCTTCGACCCAGCCCGGGACAGAAAGCACCTCAGTGCCAGAGGGCTGCCTGCTGTTGCTAATAAGACCCCTCAGATGTTAGCACTTAACCTGTAAAAGCTGTGTGCAGCTTGCACGGTACCAAGGGTAAAAGCAGGTCAAAGCCCAAGTTTGAGTCAAATGGATTGGGGCAGAATACACCAATTCATGCTCTGTTTACATAAAATATTAAGCCCAGCTTTAACATTTGGTTAGAGAGGAATGAAAATGCATCGTACTAATGCAGATGTGCCTCATTTTTCCCACATTTCCTATTCTGCCAGAAAATTGTGGGAGCTCAGGCAGGGCTGGGAGGCAGCTCCTGGAGCACACGCTCAGTGCTGGCAGCATCCTGGTGCACTGCTCTGCGTGAGCCCACCGTTAGGTAACCTCACCGTGCCGCAAGCTGCCTTCTCCTTCCCAGCACTGTGAAATCTGCTGAATTTCAAAGAATTTCCCCAGAGTGGCAGCTCCAGCCCTGGAACTGCTCAGACGGCCATGCACAGCAGTACCACATCCTGACGGGTGGGTTTGGTGCGGCCGTGGGGTTCTCTCTGGGCTGAGGTCTCCTCTTTGCCATCAGCTGCCAGAAAGTTTTCCTCCTCCCAGAGGGAAGCCTCCATCTCAACCCGTAGAGCTGACACCAGACCCGACAGTGGCACGAGCTGACCCTCGCCACCCGTTGACAGCCCTCCTCTCCCTCCCTGCAAATAGGGCAAGGAACCGGGACCACCAACCACCCGGACTATGCAAAGCACGGCAAAGTAGCCCCCACCTCATCCCTGCGCCTGCCCCTATCCCTACGGATGGCTCTTACCCCAAACGTGCCATTTCATCCGCGTGCCCCCACCGCAGGCTGACAGGCTCTGCGAGACGCCAGCCCTTACCCAGCGCCCAGGAAACAGCCATCCGTGTGCGGACGCCGCTGGGGCCATCGCCCCGCGGCCGGTGGGTGGGGGAAGTTGGGCCACCGGGTGTCGGGGAACGACGGCTGCAGGGAGGACACAGTACGCACTGGGGCTCCGCAGAGCCGGGGCGAGGGGAGGGACACCGTGCAGGGGCTGCGGGGAGCCGGGGGGCTGCGCCCTGCGGAGGGCGCGGGGTGGGGGGTTGCAAAGGGACGCGCCGCACGGAGGGGGTGCCGTGCAGCGGTGCGGGCCGGAGGGGGCACGGAGCGGCGGAGCGCGCCCAGAACCGCGGGAGCGGGAGACGGGCGGGGGGGAGCGGGGCGAAGCGGGGGCCGGGCGGGGTGGGAGCGAAGCGGAGAGGAACGGGGGCCGCGGGTCACTCACAACTCCCCGGCTGATGTCGTCCGCCGCGGGGGTGGGCGCCGCGGGCGCTTCCTGCCACGCCAGGCACAGGGCGAGCACGAGGAGCATCTCCCGGCGGCGGGCGCGGGGCCGACCGGCGGGGCTCAGCATCCCCCCGCGCCCCGCGCCGCCCGCCCCGGCAGGGCCCGGTCCCGGCCCCGCGCTGGGCTCCGCCGGACCGCCGGGCTCCGCGCCGCATCCGCGCTCCCGCCCCGGGGCTGCGGCCGCCGCCGGGGGTCGGAGGGGCTCCGCTCCGCCAGGGACGCTCCGCGCCGCCGGGAAGCTCCTCGCTCACATCGCCCCGCTGCGCCCCGCGGAGCGGGCAACTCGCTGCGAGAGCGGAGCGGAGCGCTGCCCAGCGGCTGCCGCTGCCACCCGGGGCCGCCGCGGCTCCGCGGCTCCGGCCATGCACCTCTGCGGGCGGCGGCGGAGCGCCCCGGCGGCGAGAGGAGGAGGACGGAGGAGGAGGAGGAGGAGGAAGGAGGATGCTAATGAGGCGGGCGGGGCCTGCGCTCCGCTTTGGGGGGTGGGGGGCAGCGCCGTCTGGTCGCGGTGCCGTGCAGCACCGGCGGCGCGGAGCGATCGCTCCCCGTCGGCAGCGTGTGCCACCCCCGCCGTGTCTGCGCCGCAGCTCCGTGCCGCGCTTCTGTCTGCCCGCCGCAACTCTTGGTTCTGCGAAGGAGCGGCCCCACCTGCCAGCGACTCAAGGTGCAGCCCCGTCGCCGCGGTCGGTGTGCGGATCGTCCGCATCGGGAGACCGCGCGGTCCCCGCGGAGACCCGCGCTGGGACGGGGCAGATGGCTGCGGCCATCCCGACGGCCCCGCTGCTGCCATCTCGGGGGCAAACGCGGCCAACACGTCGCAGCTGCGTCCCCTCCTCCCCATTAACACGTTATTATACTCCACAGCTTTGGAAATCGCCTCGAAAGTTGCTTTAGAAAGGAGCCTGCAAATGTGCTTTCGTTCTTTCCTTCTTTCTTTTTATATATGGAAGCGGAAATGATAAACAACGGCATCTCTTATGACAGCTGAGCACGAACCGATTCCATCCTTCTGTGCTGCAGTTCACCATGCCAGCCTGCTCCCCGTGCTGGCTGAGCAGAACCACTGCTACGCAGCACCGTTCAGCCTGGTCCTACAGCAACCCCAGTAATGCAGCAGGGTCTTACAGCAGCCAAGTGACCTCTGCTCCCATTCCCCGTGCTTCTGGAAGATGACACATGTTCCACTCCAGCCTTCAATCCCATTTTGCAGCCAAAGGAAACAAAGGATAAAAGATCATTATGGGCAGCCCTGGAGCTGCTGGACCAGAGATAAACACTGAGCCCATTCCATCTGGAAGAGTTTTGCTCTTAACTCCACGGGGTCAGCCCTTCAGGGCGCATGTTGCCATTTTATCTTCACCTGCAGGGTCATCCCTTCCCACAGCCCCACACCACAGACAAGGCTTCTCACCTCCCATTGGTGAGGGTGCGTTAAGCAGATCGGCAGCAGCACGAAGGGAGGATGCTGCTCAATGGTGAATGGCATTTAATCCTCTTAGCTTCTTTCCTGTGGCACTGACTGCAACAGAGCACCAATTTCTACCAAATCTCGAAGATGTTACAGCTCAGCTGTTCTCTTGCAGCTCTTTTCCCACGGCCATTTCTCACATCCGTGCATTACACACAGCAGGGCTGCAACCACAGGGTTCCCAGGGCTTGCAGAAGCCTTTGCTGGAGCAGACTCAAGCTGGGCTCCAGCAGCTCAATCCTTGTGCCAAGATGCACAGTGCAAAGCTTCACAGAGGGCAAAGTTTCACACTTTGCCACCAGAACGCCTGCGGGGAGCCACAGCCTGCCTGGGTGGGTTGGCTTTGGATGGGGCAAGTAGCTCCAAGAAATGTTTCCAAAAAAATATTAAAATAAGAAGTGTGTCCAGCTACTCCTTGTATTGATGCCCTTTGGGGAAGACTCACAGCTCAGGATCCCTTTTCTCATCCCAACTACTTTGGCATGGGCATGAGCCCAGTGCTGGGATTTCCACGCAGTTTCTTCTACCTGCAATGGGGCAAAGACAGGTGGGAAAGGAGCTGAACTCCTTGCAGATCTGGCTGAGATTTTCCAGAGGGGAAAAAAAAGCAGCAAAACCTCACAGGTTTTCAGGTGGCCAAATCCTACTGATTTCCCAGGCACCAATCCCTGCACTGTGTCTCTGCCTGCCCAGGTAGCAGCTGTTAGCAGCTGTGCTGTGGGAGCATCTCAGAGCCCTTCTTGCACCATAAAATCCTGCACTGGGAATAATTAAACTCGCTGTACAAGTAGATGCTTTGTCCATTCCCTACAGCTATTCAAGTCAATTCCCTGCATACTTACAAACATACTTAGCAAGCACTTACAGACGATGGGATGGCAGACTCCAACACGTTAATCAAAAACTGTGCCACAATTCACAGTACCAAAAATCCTGCCATCGTGTCAAGTACAAACAGCTGGGAGTGATTCCTCCATAGTTCCACCGTGTGGTCGCATGAAGTTTCCTCTGCTCATTGGCTGAGTGCTGTGACCCAAAGACAACAGGGACCCAAGCCCCAGCTGTCAGGCTGCTGTAGGACCAATGCCTGGCTTCAAGCACATCCCTGCTGACATCACACTAACCAAGTTATGGTGCTGAAAGCACGTCTCTTTCTGGGAAGGTGAGAGATATGCACTACCTAATGAGGCAAATGTCATGGGCACCAATGACTCCTTAAGTGTAGAGAGTTAGGAAAAAAGGGGGTCCCAGCAGGAACCCAGCACTGTGAGTATTCTCACCTTAGTTTTCAGAGGATAGAAAGTGACCCCAATGGCAGAGGCTCAGCACTGTGCATGTACTGCAAGAACAGCACAGGGTAGAGAGAGCACTTGTGCCGCTCATCGCACAGGTGAGTTCTGAATGGGATTTATTTAAGGAAAGAACAGCGTGATGATTTCAATTCTGTTAAGTGTAGCTTCCAGAATGCATTCTTTATGCTTCATTTGTTGCAAATGAATGACTCAGTTAAAGCGGCATTTCAACATATTATAGCCAAAATATTTGCTTTGCACAACAACAAAATAAGAGATAACTGCAGTCATCTGTAAGCAGGAACAAGGAAATGGACAGGCACAGCAGGCAGACAATTCCATAGGTATCACAGCTTCTTAGTGCAAAATTTTGATGCAGAAAAAGAAATTCTGGGAAAATGGGTCTGCAAGTTTGCATTCATCTAATTTGCCCACATTTGGATGGCATTGTTGGTGTTTGGAAAAACTGCAAAAGATTACACCACGTTTGTTTCCTTCCCTCACGCATCCCAACCAAAGCACACACCTGAAATATTCCCACCTTTGTGCACCAAGATGTTGAGTGCAAATTTCAGATGTTATCATCTTCCAACTTCACACATGACGTGCAAGATTAAGATTTTCCTCTTGGTGTATTTGGGATAATTAGCATGTATGGCAACATTCAGGCGATTTAATTTCCCAATTACACAGCTATGCTGAAAATATCCTTTGCATTAAGCATGCAGCACCTCTTATCAGTAGATATCCTACAACTTCTGCGCTGTCACATCACTGCAGGTGCTCATGTTTTGGCATGTTGAGAAATAATCATTTTCTGCCCTACCATAGAGCTCCCCATGGCAGTGGGACCTCGCTGTGCTTCATGGAATGAGGACACGCAGGATGTGATCCTGCTTTTCTCCTGGAAGCTTTGGTAGCCACGGGAAAATCTGTTGCTGGAATCTCGTTTACTTGCATGTAATTAGTTTCACCCTAAAGCTGCTTATTTGCTTGCCTACTTTTAGGAGTGATGGGTGAACAACAACAAAGTCAATCGTATTTTTGAGGCCAATAGTTGGCACACAGTTGTACATTTGTTAACTGTCATTCACGGAACTCTGGAAATCTTTCTTTGAGTAAAAATGGAGCAGAACGGGGCATTTACAGATGGCTGGAGTGCCACTTGTTTTCTAGACAGAAAAAGCCCCCAAACTACCAGCATTTCCTCAGAAGCTTCCACAAAAGGGGGGCAGCCAAGGCAGGAGGAGTGGGGAGGCCATTCTTCCTCCAGCCCAACCCTGACGTGTGCTGAGCTTTTGGTTCTCCACACAACCACAGCACGGCACAAAGTGTTACCAGCATCTCAGACATGCAATGGCCTCCCACCGAGCATCTCTCTGCTGAGTTCTGTTTATCAAATCAAACAAACTGCCTATCTTTATTTCAAAGGCTTTCCCAGGCGGTTCTGCCTTGTCTTTGATCACCCATTTAGCAGTGGGAAATGGGCTCCTGCTGCCGTGGCACCCACCTCTCCTCCCTCACAAGACTCCCACACAGCCACACTGTCCCACTGCACCCATCTGCACAGGGACTTCTGCAGTTTCTCAGCTCACAGCCACATTGCCACCAAGCAGACATGAGCACATCACACAGCACTTGTGTGCTCTCACAGCACGGCGTTGAAGGCAGTGACACCCATGAATTACAGCAGACACACGTTCTCCAGGCTCTGCTGCATCCCAGTGCAGCACGACTCAGTCCTTGTGCTGGTGGGGCAGAAGGACCAGGTTGCCCTATGAGATCATCTTTGCACCACCACATTCCCAGCCCTGCTGTCCTTGCCTTATAATAACAGCAGCATCGCTTCACGCAGCCTTCTTTAAGCAATGAGAAGTCCTGGGGCTAATTAACCAGATGTAGAACAGTCACTTTACTCAAAACCAACAAATCTGAAAAGCCACAGACTAGCATTTAATAGAGTGCTGCAGTGGAAATGTACCAATTTTAACACTACTTAAGCACAGCAGATTGTCCTTCAGCTCAGAAAAATCAAAAAACTCTTTGACCTGCTTTTATAATGCCTGAATAAGCGTCGGTGCTTTCTGTCAGTCACGAAGATGGCAGATTATGTGGCACACATCAACACCACAGAGCAGTGATGCACACGTGTACACCACAGCCCTGCAGCATGGGATGGACAGCTCGGTATGGGCAGGATGTGGCTCATCAATGAAGCACAGCTGTAAATCCTCCAACATACAACACAGGAGCTGGCTACCTTCCCTCAGCCAGCTGGGCATGCTGGTGTGGTCAGCAACGCTCCCA